GAGTTTGAGTTTGAGTGTCGTTCGAGTTCTCACACGTTAAATGCATACTTGAGTAAAGTTTACTCTCGAGTGAGCCTTTCTCGAGTAAAATAGAGCAACCGAACATGGCCTTAGTTTTTTGAATTGAATGATTGGATCGTTACCCTTCTGGTAGGTTTTTCCTCTTTTGGTTGCCTAAGGTGGGTCCCTCCCACCCTCTAGCCAATTTATCTCTAGTTCATTTTTGTATATAAGTCGCATTCAAATTGACATGTATATGACCAGAGATAAGTTATAAAACTAACCTCAACAGCCTTTGGGACATAGTTAAAAATTTAAAATTATATAATAAAATATCGTTATTATTTCTTAGTAAATACCTCCCAGTTCAAAATTTTATTTTATTTTCATAATGTTGCTCCAAAATTCTCTTTTTATTCTTATTAAAAAAAATCAAGATCGTTGATCGTCGCTTTGATATTTGTAATTAATTTAGTATGATGGTATCTTATTATATGATAAGGCACGAGAATTGTTATTTCACATTAACCAATAATATTTAGATAGCATAAAAGCATATTTCGTTAAAAATACTAAACTGAAGGATCTGTACAAGACTGACATTTTTTTTGGGCGGTTGGTATAGGTATTATTACATCACATTTATATCTAAAAATAATAAATCTAATGACATGTTTTGGTGGGTTTTGGTGTAGTTGTGTCCCTTCATAGCATAAAAGCTTATCTAATAGAGTTTTAAGTGTATTCGATCTTATGTGTTGAGATTTTCTCTCGTTTTCGAGTCTCAGACGTACGTCCATTTCTCCGTTAGGTTATTAATCTTGTATTGTGATGTTTGTTCCTCTATTTTTTTTTTTTTTAAATGCAAGTTCCCTTTAAAAAAAAAATAAATAAATCTAATGACACATGATAAAGATCATCTACCAATCACCATAGAATCATGTTAAGTAAGTATAATAATTGCTCGCTCGTCTAGTGTTTTTCATTTTATTATTATTATTTTTTTAGTGATGGTACAACGTTGGAAAGCAAACAATAATAGTTTTGCATGGTCCATGTAATATATAAGCATTCAAGTAATGCGGTTGGGTAGAATCACAGCAAACATAAAAAATAACGAAACATTGGAATTCTCCCTCTCCTACAAATCAACTGTCAATTTCTCTTATATCAGAAGAAAAAAACAGAATATATTGAAAGGCAGATCATAGATAGAGAAACAAACGACAAACATAAATATAACCCCACGACAGCAAACAGCTGGAGAGAAGAAGAACCCAAAGAGAACAGGAAATTGCCTAACAAAACGTCAAAAGGGGAACATCTCCAAAATGGCCAAGCAGACATTTCAGCCATGGAACTTGCACTAAAACATTTTCAATCATATTCAGACCAGCGACCAGGTCTGAGTACGCAGAGTACTAGTCCCCAGATGATGCAAAGACACGGTAATTTTTAACCGATGGGAAACTGTTTTAAACCGTCTTATGTTTGTCTAATTATGTTACTCGTACTAGTTGAATACACTATTAAAAGTGTCGGGGCATCATAGGAAGAAGTGGACCGGGCTTGACATGTTTTTTCAAAACAAAGCACGCTTAAAACATAACATGTTAAGAATCGGAGCTTGGTGAGGCCCGGGGGCAGCTGCTCATCCTAAGCCCACTAGCTTTTTTTAAATATTTGTCCCTTATTTAAAATTTTTAAAATTTTCTTCTTTCATTTGCCCCCTTAAAAATTTTTTAATTACAGTATTTACATGATTTAAAATAAAAAAAAAATTGTTTACCCTACATTTTAATTCTTTTAAGTACTCTTATCTCAAACTTAAAATCTCTAATAAGTCAAGGATACAAAGAGATAAATGAAGGTAAAAAGACTATTGTGTTGTAGTTTTGTTTAACTTTTTTGTTTCATTTATGCCCCCCTCAAAAAAAATTTTTTTTTTTGTGGCTCCACCACTGCAGACACGATGGTAAAACAATGGAGTGATAACAACTGTTCTTTTATTTTTTAACTTTTACAATTTCCTTATTATGCAACCTGTAGTGTCTGTCTTTTTCTTACTAAAATTTTATCCTTTTCAAGTTATTGCTTGATAAGGTTTTCAATGTTGTGATTTCTTTTTAATAATATGCTTTGTTTTTATTATTTCTTTTATTGGATACCAATACTTATTAAAGACACAGCATGATCATGAACTGGGCACAACAACATGATCATCATAAACGAGTCATGCAAGATTATTAAATGACCCGACACGACCGTGGCATTAATGGGTGTAGATAATAAACCACGGCTATAGAATAAATGGAATGGATCAACATGACACGCTCATTTTAAATCTATACAATCTATTTAGTAAAATTACCCTACCATAACAAGGTCCTACTTCAATAATTCTATTATTTTTGGGTTTGACCCGTTTAGAGTCATGTTTCTGTACCAAGTTAGCTGAATCAGGTCCATTCTTGAAACTTTAAAAACAATATATAACCTTGAGATGTATTATGTATATGGTAGGTTTTGTTGGTACTTTGTTGCAGCCATTGGTTGTGACTGGTGAACTTAATCATTTTCTCTCTGAATATAACTCTTTCCCAACATTGTTAACCCAATAATGGCGTCTTTGCTTTAATTATATTTACTTCTCACATAGGACATTGAAATCAATTGCTAAGGAATTCTAAGGCTCAAATTCTCAATGATAATAAACACATTTGGACTATATGTTCATTGGCAAAGCTATGAAGCTTACTGGCTAAGCGACTCCGGCTTCCTAGTCCAATTAATATGTACTTAACTTAGCAAAACATCACTTTCTGCAGAATATCTCACGTGAGGTTTTAGTGACTCACGTGTGGATTTTTTTTTTCAATTTATAATAAATAATGGGTGAAAAAAGTGGTAGTTACAATAAGGTGAAAATCTAAGGGTGGTGGAGTTGTGTACATCTAACCAATTATCCACATTATTCATGACAAGGTTATTTTGAAAAAAAGAAAAAAAGAAAAAAAGAGGGTCCCTAATCTAGCCTAATACGCATATGTACGTTTTGTTTGTGTTTCTTTGTTCCATGAGGCTCTTAAGAACGAATAGGCTAACAAAATCCAAAGTTTATCTCATGTTAAATCTACTTGGACAACTATATATAACCGGAAGCAAGTAAATTCATTATTTTATAAATCTTTAAAATTGTTCACAGTACTTAGGAATTCTAAATTCCTGCATCTGCATATATCAACAAGAACATGTTTGGTAACCTAAAATATCTATGTTGTAAGACATACCCTGTTATGGGATGGAGTGAAAAATACAAAATAAAAATAGAATGCCGGTTTTAAAAGAGATCATGGACAATCTGTCTGTAAAGTTCAACTTTTGATTTCTTTTATGACTGTGTATTGTATTTTTCACTAGGCATGTCATGTGCAGCTCCACTAGAGAAATACCCTTTTGTTGCAAAACATGGGTGGGACAAAATGCTTCAAAGAATTTCCTTCTGCTCTATCTAGTTCTATCCAAAGTTGCACTGTCTTCACCTTGTTATTATCTGAAACATACGGCGCATATCAGATCATCATTGGACCTGACAATGAATGATTTACTTGATAAGATGAGACGGGTCAGAATTTAATTAGTCAAATGTCATTCATTCGAATATAATCCATTGATAAATTGACTCTTTAACACCACCAAGTAGGAAGTATGAGTTCTGGGTGGCTCTCTTCGAGAGTGTTAAATGTAAAAATTTGCGTCTATCAACTTAGGGCTTAATTTTGTACTTGGGCTCCACGTATCTCACCGTTCTATGGGGTTAGAGTGACGTACTTCTTATTAAGGGATAAGACTTGACAATAGGATCTTTAATAAACATTTATATTAGCATTTGAGAAATCATTTTAATTACGCTCAAAGAGAATATGTTAACGCTGGTCGCCTCTTTTGAACTTAAAAGACAAAAAAAACAGAGAGAATACCTATTTCCCCTTAGTGTAAAAGATCAAAATCCATTCATCTTAACCCTATATTACAATCAAAAGCTAAACCACTTTTCCAAGCAGAAAAACATGAAACATCATAAAACTTTCCAAGACTTTAATATTCACACATACTAAGGAAGATTAATAAGTTTGCACTGCATGAACAATAAAGGCTTGCGCAGTTCTATAATAAATTAATGCAAACATCAAAAACACAGTGCAGCTAATTCTGTGTACATTCAATAACGAGGACAGAACCAGAATGCTTGTTCGCTTGTGCTGGTTGGACATCGTAATCAAGTTTGTCTTTTGCAGAAAAATATTATTGTCCCACAGATACCGAGACCAAGTCCAAAAGGAGTACTTACAGCTAACTAAAAACAAATATCTAGCTGGAAAAAAAAAATGCCCACTATGAACTAGCCAATTGTACTATAATAAGCACAAAAAAAAAAAAAAAAGAAGAAGATTAGGTGGAGCAAACGCCTTATTTTAGTATAAAAAGCCACCGCTTGAAAAACACTCACTTCCAAGAGACTTTTCTCTTTCTGCCACCGACATATCCCTAAAATGGGCACAACACTTGAGAGGGGCATATTTGTAACTCCATAGGGGATATGGGTGACCGTTATGTTTGGTTGACACAGACGTGGGGGACATTATGGTCATTTCATAAGGTAGCTGGGCTCGTGATTTCATGAGCTTAATCAGGACCCTCACGTGCCTTTGGCGCGTGATCCTGGGCTCTAGCATAATTAAAGTGGTCGATATCGAGGCTCTCGCAAATTGCAGTCTTTGAATCAGATTTAGAGCCTTAGTTGAGTTTGACTTAAAAATAGCGAGAAAGTCAGAGAGATCTACGGTCTAGAAAACCCAACTAGGATTTAAAATAATAGTCTATATAATATACGATCATGATTACCTTTCAAGCACTCATTTATTTCATGCATTTAAATTTATAAAAAATTTAAAATTTAAATGTTAAAATTAAGAATCACTATAGTGTCTGGACTTGCTTGAGTAACTTCGTTTGCTTTGAAGCTCTGATCTTTGCATATTTCTGCAAATAGGTTTTCTTTCTTTCTCGTGTTTGATTAGCTTTTCATCATAAATTTTCCCACTTAATCATTTCTCACCTTTATGCCACTTTCAAAAGAAAAAATCATTTCTAGCATAAGTAAAAGCGTTTTTAGGCTGGCCCAGATCTTTATATGCTCTACTGCTTTTCTTGATCTCTCTCTATTCTCTTTGTACGGAGTAAAATGAATACCATATATTATTCTCTTACATTAACTCCGTGGTGGAACCTGTTTTTTGTCCATTCATATAGTGGATGATTTTGTGCTTGATTGTTTGATTCTTTTTTGTCTTTTTGGCCTTTTCTATTGTTGTGCCACCCTTTAGCCAAATCTATGTCTCTGAGATTTAGCACAAGTGAAATTTGAGGCTTGTTTTTGAGTTTCATCATCAAATGAAGATGGGAAATTTGCGGGCTTCTTTCTTCTTCTTCTTGACTTCCACAACCATCCTTGCTTTGTACACTCCAATCTCAACTGCCCAATTGACACAAGGTGAAACCAGAATTCTCTTCCAACTCCAGAAGCTTCTAGAATACCCTCAAGCCCTTAATGGATGGACAAACTGGACCAACTTTTGTTTTCTCCCTCACTCTTCTTCCCTCAAGATTACTTGCCAAAACAATCACATCATAGAATTATCCATTGTGGGAAACAAAACTTCACCTTCTCACACTCCAAAACCAGCTTCAGGCAAATTTTCTCCTAATTCTCAGCAAGCTCTGTCCAAAACCTTCTCCTCTGACTCTTTCTTCACAGTTTTGACAAAGCTTTCAAACTTGAGAGTTGTGTCACTTGTGTCACTAGGCTTGTGGGGCCCTCTACCAGCAAAGATCAACAGGCTGAAATCTCTTGAAGTTCTAAACATCAGCTCAAACTTCCTCTATGGAGAAATTCCCTCCTCAGTTTCTTCAATGAAGACACTAAAAAGCCTTATCTTGGCTGATAACTTGTTCAATGGGAGTGTCCCAGATCTTAAAAGCTTGACGTTTCTTCAAGAGCTCAACTTGGGATACAACCGCCTCGGACCCGAATTCCCTTCCATGGGAAACAGCCTTGTGAGTGTCATATTGAGGAACAACTCTCTGAGATCTGAGATCCCTTTAAAGATCACAACTTTTGACCAGCTTCAGCTGCTTGATATCTCTGCCAACCACTTTGGGGGGCCCATTCCGTCTTCCTTGTTCTCAATGCCTTCAATTCAGTTCCTCAATTTGGCTGGAAACCAATTGAGTGGAGGCCTTTCCGTGAACATTACTTGCAATGCTGAGCTCAAGTTTGTGGATGTTTCAAACAATCTCTTGATTGGAAAACTGCCATCCTGCATCGGGTCAAGGTCGGGTAATCGGACGGTTCTCTATTCATGGAACTGTTTGTCAACTTCATACATAAGATATCAACACCCCTATTCGTTTTGTCACAAAGAAGCACTTGCTGTTAAGCCACCAAGCAGAAGCAAAAAGGAGGAATCGAGCACCAAATTAGGCTTAATACTTGGTATTATAGGAGCTATTGTGGGGATTATTGTAGTTGTGGGATTGCTGGTTTTGATAATCATCCGAAGAACAAATATAAGAACTGAAAAGAACATTTATGACAGATCTGCTGCTGATAAAATGTCCCTGCGTAGCTCCCCAAGACCGAACATCGAAACAAGTAAGGCTCTCCTTTTTACTGGCTAAATAATTGGTTTGTTAAATGGATTGGATGTCCTTAGTTTTTCTTGTGAGACTGATACTAAATGGATTGTCCACAGGGCGTGTGCCTCAGACAATGAGGTTAACATCAATTGGGTTAGCACCGTACCGCATTTTCACGTTGGAGGAAATTGAGGATGCAACGAATAATTTCGACCCTTCGAACTCGATGGGGGAAGGGTCTCAGGAAAAGGTAGCTGTGGCATTTGATTGTGAGTTTTTTGTTCAAAAACTTTATAGTGGAATCTAAGCATTAAACGTTGATATTCTACAGGTCTACAAAGGTTGGCTTATAGATGGTTCTGTTGTTCTAGTGAAATGCTTAAAACTAAAGCAGAAGCAAATTTCGCAAAGCTTGATGCAAAACATTGAAGAAACATTGTCGAAGCTAAGGCACAGGCATTTGGTCAGCGTTCTTGGACACTGCATTGTCACCCTTCAGGACCATCCCAATACAGCAACAACTGTCTTTGTTGTTCTTGAACACATCTCAAACGGCTCACTGGCCGAATATGTCACAGGTAAGGCTAGGGAACTCGGAGAAAATACGTTTTGAGTCCAAGTTTGAATGCTGAAAGAATTTTGGTGATGACTTCTTTGGCAGATTGGAGAAAAAAGGAGTTGCTGAAATGGCCGCAGAGAATGGCAATTACCATAGGCGTTGCGAGGGGAGTCCAGTTCTTGCATACAGGAATCGCGCCGGGTGTCTTCGGGAACAATATGAAGATAAACAACATATTGTTGGATAATAGTCTCTCCGCAAAGATTAGTAGCTATAAAATTCCGTTACCATCTAAGGTTAGCAGTGAAATGAAATGTATATAAGAGGTGCTAAGAGTTTATAGTTTCATTGTTGTTATTAAAACTTGATGCATTTTCAACTCTGCAGGTGGGCGTGGAGAATCCTCTACATGGACAAGACGGGTATTATTATCTCTCTTCTGTATTTTATGATCAGTCTCTTCTGCTTCTAGTGTTATTGCTGCGTCAAAATTCTCTTACAAAATCTTAAAATGCAGAGGGGAAAAGGAAGATATCTACCAATTGGGTATCATCCTACTAGAAGTCATTACCGGGAAACTAGTTAAATCCTCTACTGAATTGAACGAGATGAAGCTCGAGGTATCCATCCACTTTTATTCATTGTTATACCAAGTTCATTCTGACATGATTTCCTCTCGTTATAACAATAACATCAACATCGGCGTCTCTATTTTCGTTTCTTTTCCGCAGCTTGAAAAAGGCTTAGCAGTATCGAATTTAAAGAATGTCGTGGAATCTACCATTCATGGCTCGTACGCATACCAGTCGTTGAAGACGGCAGCTGAAATCACGGTCACTTGCCTAAGCGAAGACCAAACCAGGCGTCCCTCGATAGAAGATGTACTCTGGAATCTACAGTACGCAATGCAAGTGCAAGAAGGATGGAACAGCAGTGGAAACCTCAGCACACAGATGTAGAAACTCTTGGTTGAATTCCCTTTGATTTTGCTATGGATGACATGTTTATTCCTTCCTTTACTCAGTGTCCAAATAAATAAATGTAAATACAACTAGCGTTTACCATCTACTTTTTAGCATGTGGTTAAGCTTCTACAGAAGTTTTTACTTTCATTATCTGCTCCCTAGTGTTTCTGCAAGCAATTTTCTTATCAGATTGTTTCAAAGATTCACACTTGTGCGTAACAAGAAAACATAAGCAATTTTCTTATCAGATTGTTTCAAAGATTCACACTTGAGCGTAACAAAAAAACATAAGCAATTTTCTTATCAGATTGTTTCAAAGATTCACACTTGTGCGTAACAAGAAAACATAAGAAAAATACCGTAACATAATCAGTAACATAATCAAAATCATAGTTTAATTTAAACACACAAAACAAACCGACCCATAGTTTCTCCCTCTTTGCATGATTTCTAGGTAGTCCATTGTCATTAATCCTAAACCAAGAAATTTTGAGAAAAGAAAAAACTTTTTCTTCTATTTAAAGCTAATTGGAAGAAAAATACATGACGGGAGAGCCAAACACGCCGTGAAAGGAAAGCAAAACAAACATTCCACATAATCAGACATCAGAGTCGATGTGTTCGCAGCAAAATGGTTTTCAAAAGTCTCGAATGTTATTAAAACAAGCCACTTCAACTAATCTTTAGAGTTTCATAGCATCTGAGCAAGGATAAATTAATCAGCAGTCCAACTCTGCTCGACGATCTCACGGACTCTCCTATTGTATTCACGCTTGTTCTCACTAAACATCCGCGCCGCTTCTGAATTTGCAGGAGAGTTCGGGTTTGGGTCACAGAGCAATGACTACAGAGAAAAAGAGACAGCTTAGGTAAGATAGTTCAAAGGTGAAAATAATCACGCTTCCTTGCGGAAGAATACAATCTATATGATTGTAGATGCCAACAAGGTGATTTTATTTAAAGAAGCCACCAAGTCTTCTGTTTATTTTAAGTATCACAGTAGTGAAGAAGATGATACAGCACAGGGCCTTACAGAGCCGAAGGTAAGGTCTCACAGGGTCTCACTTTAACGTACACATGGTAGCTATACAACCATAGCCAGGACATGCTTTACGAGTAAAATATTTTCACAACCTAAGCTTCCATTCCATACGGGGTCGGAACAGAAGTATTTACCAGTGGATTGTCCCATCAGGGAGCAAGATAAACTTAAAAACACAGATAGTTTCATCACATTCACATTATGCTCCTCGATCTCGGTCACTAAAAAACAAAATAAGAATGAAACAATACGTAATTATACCTGAATAGAGGTAAGTATAGCTGCTACATCATAAATGGGACTCCACTGATTTTGTAAAATATCCAAACAGATGCTTCCATCTGCATAAACTGAAAAGGAGCAAGGAAAATTAGAAATGCCAAAAGGGAAGCGACTGACTTGGTAACAAAGAATAAATCTTCAACGAGTTATCATTGAAGAATTAACACAAATGGAGGAGTGTGCTCCAATTTTTCCTTCTCCCATCTCACTTTTCGCACAATAAAACCTAGTTTGGGCTTAGTTTAAAAGATAAACAAACGCTGAAGATGGTAATGACTTGCTATAATGTTTCTGAATTTGTTTAGTTGTGTTCACCCCTGGATGTATGCATGCATGTTCAAGAAGAAAACATTAACCCATATGTAGGTTTACTTTCCGACTTACTATTAGGATGGAACATTCGAGAAACGAAGCGCACTGTTGGCGGCTTATTCGGATAATCCTCTGTAAACTGTAGTGTCAATTTAAACGTACCTAGAGGATGCAAAGACAAAAAGTTGTTAAGTAAATAAAGAAACAGGTAGCTAAAGAATTAAGCATGAAAGAGAAAGAGAACGAAAAGTTCTCAAATCACAGCTGGCACAAGACTTGAGCTTACCTCCATCCCATGGAGTATCATCAGGTCTGCAATAAAACCAATAGTTACATAAGTAACAGAATATGCTTTCATCTAAATCATCAAAATTGGACAAAATAAAATGCACAAACGATTATTTGTTTCCAAACCTACCCAAATATGACGGCGTTCCATAGCATAATATTATTGTCTTGAGGGGCACCACTTATACCCGCTGGAGGATCTTGTTGCAACCTCTTGAAATCCCTCATCAGTCTCTTTCTTGAAGGAGTCGACATCCTCACCACTTATACGATCAATAAAAAGCCAGTCAAAAACTTATTTCTCCACTATGAGTTCCCACAAAGTGCAAACACAAATATACACACAAAAAAGCATTCATGCAAACATACATTTGAAGACAGAAAATCAAATGAAATTTAATTAATTCAAAATTTGCAATATACAGGGCAAAAGTTTCAAAAAAGTAACATCCAAATAAATTATAGTTGAACTATAGCTCATAATACCCTAAACTTGGCAAAGAGCCAACATCTGCAACTCAAACTGCACCGAAGACGATTTTTTCTGTTCATCAGAAAGTTGGTTATACATATATCATTGAAAAGAGAAAAGAGACCAATTACAAAACCTTGAATTGAGAACTTTTTTTAGACGCACCTGAGATCGACCATATAACATCCTTTATAGCTATTAAAAGAAAGGTACTTTGACTCTTTGAGGATTGGAATCTAATCGAATCAGATCGCAAAAGAAAAATCCTATCTTATTGAACTCAAAATCATAGTCAACACGTTCCAATAGCACAAGAAAAAGAGGCAGAACTTTATCACTTAGATTCAACATTACCTAAGCAAAACCCTAGATCCGCATCAACAATCTAAAAAAGCATCACCTAATCGCCACAATCCACCACAAAAAGTTAGGGTTTCATCTCAATTACACGATCGACATACAAGGTCTCATTCACAATCAAATTGCCAGACAAAAAATTCACAAAATTAGACAACAATCAGACCAAACGAAGCACCAGATTAGAGAAACAGAATCGCGGCACAAAGGCCTAACCTGAAATCTAACGCGGCGAGAAAAGGTTCAACTCTTGGAAAGGCAGCTTCAGAATCGCAACAACCGGAGAGAAACTTTTCCCAGCTCGCGATTTTCAGAAGATGAAAAAGACTGTCAGAGAGAGATTACCACGGTGAGGAAAGCAAAACCGATCGGCGAGGAAAAGAAAATAAGAGAGAATTTTTATTTAGGTTGGAGAATGAAAGAAAATCGAACTATTATATAGAGGAAAGATTTTATTGGCAGACTTGAGTCGGCGCTTAAATTTATAATTATAAAAAATCAAATTTTAATCTACCACCGCTAATATGTGCGAGGACCCCACAAATGTTTTATCTTTTTTAAATAAAAAAAATCTTAAGGAATGATAAACTTGTGTCATGTAATAAAAAAGTTAATTTTAAATTTTTAAAAGAAAATACTTAAAATTTAAATTGTGATTTGAGTTGTAAACAGAACAACTTTTAAATTTTATAATACGAGAAATTCGATAGTTTTTTTAATTGAAAAAAAAGATAAATAAATAAAAAAAATCACTATTTTTAAAGAATTTACTTTCCTTAAAAAAAAAAAGAATTTGCTAAGATGATTCTCTACAGATACTAAATAATAGAAGGAGTCGTTTTGAAGTCATTTTATAAATTATAACTTTTAAAAATTTTACTAATATAACTTTTCTAATTGTAAAAAATATTATGTAGAATCAGTCGTTTCAATGTTATTTTATAAATTGATGAGTTTTTTAACGTGCTACGTATTATTTAGTTAAAGACACTTAAAAAATTTATTATTTATTAAATAATAAAAATTTTATGTATATAGTTATTTAAGAATTTTTAATTCACTTTAAAAAAAATACGTATAAAGAAGCAAAACAAATAAATCATTATTTAATTCACTTTAAATAATGACATAATTAAAGACAATTATTTTAATCACTAACAAAAACAAATAAATAAAAACATATGTAAAACAAATTACTTTCATACTATTAAAGTAAGGAAAAAAATATATTTTAAAAAACATGTGGACACAATTAATCTGTACGAAATTATTTCATAGTTGTAAGTGAGAAAAAAAATTCAAAAACCATATAAAATATTAAACTGCAAAAAAATCCACAAAATAAAAAAAAAGCAAAACAATTAAAAGATTAAAAAAATTTAGATGAAAAAATTAAAGAAGAAAAACAAAAACAAAAAAAAAAAGAAAAAGGGGAGAGAATAAGAGGCTGGCATGTGGCTACTAATATATCTTTTCTATAAAGTCGTTTTTCAAAAGAAAAAAAAAAAACAGAGGCAAAAATATACAATTAGTCTATTACTATATCAATAAAGCATTTTAAACGGCTAATACTAAATAATTTTTTCACGGTTAAATTGGTACAATATTTTAATTATTTTTAAATTTTATCGCAGTATTGTTTTAAATAATGTTATAAATTACTTTTGTTTTATGTGAAAAAGGAAAAGTAAAGATTGAAATGTCTACGGGTGCGTTTGAAATTCGTTTCAAAATGATTTTGTTTTCTATATGAAAATGAAAATGAAAACATTTTCATTTCTATTTTAGAATTATTTCTGAAAATGCATTTGGTAGTTTTATTCTGAAATTATTTTCAGTTAAAAAAAACTAAAACTGCGTTTGTTGGTTTAATTTTTAAAAACATGTAATAATATTTTAAATAATAATATCCGGGAGAACAAAAATTAATGCCACCTAAAGAAAAGTCACCACCCTCCGATTCGCCTCGGCTGACCACCTCTTATCATTATTCCTCCGTGTTCAAATCCTCGCATAGAACACCCCAAAAACCACAATCCACCCTGCGGCAACAACACTCTTCAACAGCACAATCCACCCGTGTTCTCATCAATGTAATCCTCCAAAATCTTGTTCAATTCCATGGCCACATTATGAAATATATAGCAAATACACTCTGGAATAAATCGGAGATTAACAGACTCACCCCAAATCAGGAGATAAAGCGAGACGTAGAGCAGCTCATGGTGCTGGTCCAACGACGCCTTGTGGCGATCGGAGATCCAAATGTTGGACTTCTTCCCCAAATAGTAGCACCAATCAGTGTAGTTCTTCAACAGCTTCTTGCGGAAGCGGCAGAGGACGCCGGCGTCGAGTGTATCGATGTTGTCCGGCGGCGGCGTGAGGCACATCTGGGCGTTGGCGAGGTGGAGGATGAGGTGCTCCCTCTAGTTTCAAACGCCATCGTTTTGGAAGCCGAAGAATAGGGCAAGCCAATCGAGGAGGTCCATGTGAGGGAGCCATTGCGCGAACGGCGGCCGACTGAGGTTCCCGACGGCTCTCAGCGCCGCCGCTGCGGCTCGAACCTCTGGGTACCGTAACGACAGGTGGTCCGCGAGCAGGTTGTGCACCGGGATTATGTTGTACGGCTCCGGGTCTCCTGCTGCCACTGCCGGGCCCGGACGCTACGGTGGGGATGGTCGCTGGCGGAGGCTCATGAGAGGGTTGAATCGAAAAATGCAAATGGGAAAAGGAGGAAATAAAAACGAAAACGGAGAAAACGATCTTAAGTCGTTTCTAAATTTTGGGAAAAGGACAAAAACATTTTTATTTTTAATTTTAATAAACTGTTGCACCAAACACGTTTTTTCTAAATGGCTTTTATTTTCTAAAAGGCTTTTATTTTAATGTTTAGAAATAGAAATTAGAATCTATCCAGAACCTTCTGAAAAATAGTAATGATTGCATTCTATTGGAACGAATTTTACGTGTCACTAATTTATGGATTGGTTATATATATATATATATATATATATATATATATATGGTCTGATGTGGATGTGCTATCTCCAATTTTTGAAGGGAAATAACATTTGTGTTTTTCTGGGAATAGGTAATTTTTTAAATGTTGTCTCAAAAAAATACCTTATGTTACTTACGAGTTCAGCTTATTCTTAATAATAACAATAATTTTCAAAGGAACGGACTCGTGAATGATTTTGTCGATTAGGAAGGTTTTGAGCATTATGTTGAATTCTTTCCATTGAGACTATTATCAGATTGGAAGGGAATATTTGGTATTCAACATGATGAATTTGTCCACTTCACAAAGAAAAAGCAATGGAAGATATTTGAGAATATGTTTCTAATATTGATTCCTTTCAAACTCATATGCTTTTTTCTTCCTTTCCGGTGAATCTAAGCGGTAGAAAGCAGAATTAATGCTTTTAGAATAAATTTGAAAAGAAAAAAAAAAAAAAAAAAGGGAGCATAGTCCCCCCCCACAAAATATTCCCGTATAATGATTGAACAAAAGCATATAACTTAACAAGTTTTTTATTTTATTTTATTTTATTTTTTTATATATATACTGTCATGCTAATTTCTTCGGAAGATTGTTTACTTACCCTTGATTTTAGTTCAACGATAGGGAAAAAAAAGTCCCCGAGAGTCCATCGGAAACAATAGATTATTTTTTAGTTTGGCTATTGTAACGTGTAAATTCTACAAGGAGAGAACTTTTGTTGGTGTTTTATCTTGAAAACAACGGTGTATCAAGATTACTGAACAATTATTATTATTATTATGGCTTGAATTTTGGTGTCCTTTTTATCTAAGTGGGGCAACATTCAGTGTAGACGCCACAACTACAGACAAGGCATCTGAGTTAGTCAATACTTTTTTGCTTCAAATGCTCTCTATTGATAAGATTTGGATTTCACAACATTACCAATATGGTGATATTCATCCCTTCATATCAAGTTCCCTCTTAATGTGTATGCAAATCTTAAGCCCAACATGTTCACATTATTTTTGGTATTTTTGTCACTCAAGTTAGGCAAAAGAAAACTATGCTTAAATCATCTCAAAGAAAAAGAAAACTACGTAGAAGATAACAATCCTACAAATCTCGTCGTTTTGCATAAAAAAAAAAAGAATAATTCAATATTTTGACAATATGAATTTACCATTCTTTATCTTATTTTTTTTCTCTAATAAAAAAAGAATAATTAATTTGCATTATTGAGTATCAATGTCATATTAATTTAGCATTAATTAGTAATAATGTCACAAGATAGGTGACCAAAATATAATTATATAATGAAAAATGTCTTTTGAAGTTCGACTCGGAAGACCAACCGTACTGAACAATTAGAGTTTGATTAGACATGTCGAACTAGACGATATGGTTGGAGCCATTGAACCAGTCAGTTTGCCCACATGGCCAATGGACTTTGATCGTGAACATGAATCAAGTCGATTGCTTAACAATCTACCCGATCAACTTTTCAAGAATTTAAAGTTAGTTTTCAAACATGCATCAATTGAAAATCAATCAAATGAACGCCAAGAATTAAGAAGAATGTAAGGCCCTATTCAGTTCACCGATTCGAGTTTTCAATTTGAGCTGAGATGTGACTTTATGTGAGAGTTTCTAACTGTAGTAAAAAAGTTAGATGTGACTTTTTATGAGAATTTTTAACTGTAATAAAATTGAAATTGAAAACTCAAATCGGTAAAATGAACTAGACCAGTCTATAACTTTTTAACGGAATCATGACATAGCAGTAAGAAACTATAAATCATAAAGATGATAAGTTGAAAAATTAAAAATTAAATGAAAAATTAAACCGTTAAAAATTTTAAGTATTTTAAGTATTCACGTAGCCATCTTCGTGAAAAATCTAGAACACTAATTTAAAAGTATTTATAAGTGAATCATACATTGTCTCGAGTGGGTGTCCTTGCATGTCGTACTCGATATACTTTATGGCGTAAATGGCACAATCTCCACTGTTTCAAGTAGCATGTTAGATTCTCTAGTTAAAGAAGATAATTAAAAAGCTAACAAAAAACATCCCAATACACTAGTATAGCATTTTGGGTAAAGTCACGCGGGCACCTATGCGGCCATGGAGCATGGAGGTGATTTTCGATGTGTTTGAAAAGTCCAGATTCCTGAAGTGCCAATGGAATATGGCCGGGACTAGAAGCATGAGTTTGTCCATGTCCTTGTCTGGCGTGCAAAGCTGTAATGGAACGCAACCATCTCTCAAACAACCAAATCAATCTTCAACATGAGCAAATGTGCGGCCAACAGGTTAAATTGCTAGTACAGCGGCTTCAATTCGCGCCCCTCCAAGGCTTCCCTTTTTCGGGAGATTTACCCCTCGTCCTGTTTGATAACGTCGGGATACGACATTATGTAATAGTGTTATAATTGTACTCTGATTACTTACCTTAATGACATTGTGCTAATCAATGTTAAATTAATACGAAATTGTACCGAGTAATGAAAATTGATTTAACTTTAATCTCATTTGAACACGTGATATTGCCTATTAATTTCATAACAAGCACCATAACCATCAACTCTGCAACATTGCTTAATTATATCAAAATTTGGAATTAACAAAAAAATTCAAAAATTAGTTGAACTTACAAATTCACAAACTTAAGCAAAACTAACGGACTCATTCCTAGTTTTCATTATCTACATTCTTCTTCTTTCCATATATCAAACCGTTGTCCTGAAAAAGGAAAGAAAATAAATTAACAACCAAATGGAGGTTAAATTAAGCAGCCTGTGGAAATAAATAGGATGGATACCTGAGGATCAGGAATAGGTTTACGCTTCTCGATATAACGATGAGGATCCGGTTCCAAAGCAGCAAGAGCAGCTCTTTCCTCTTGCTGGCGCTTGAGATCCTGAGACGGCTTGACCCATAGAAAATAGGCCAAAGTACCGGCAACAACCCACGAAGCAAAGTTACTTCCTCCTCTTAAACCTCCCATGGAATTCCCCACGAACGACCTGACATTTCCAAGTGTTCTCTTCCAACTGCTCGTCATTGAACTGAAGAGGCCAATTGATTCTAATTCTCTCCTCTCCCTTTCCTAAACCCTAATAAGACACTGTTGCAATCAAAGCCAAACACGACAACACCGCTTTTAGGATCAATAAAATGCCAATAAAAAACTTGTATTCAGGGATAAGTTCCATTAAAGTGCAAACAAAAATACACACACAAAAAGCATACAAGCACAAACACGCATTGAAAACATTGAATCCAATGAAACTAACTAATTACAATATACACAGCAAAAGTTTCAACAAAGAGAGATTCAAATGAATCAAAGTTGTTTAGAATTATCTATTAATTTTATTTTGGGTTTACCTTTATCATTTATCCTTTAAATTAGTTACGATTATTAATGATAGTTCTATAAGGATTCAAACAAACAAAGAGCTATAAACTATGTACTCCGTGCCATTTATGGCCTTCATTCAATCATTCAATAAAATTCATCGTTTATAACTCATAATACCCGAAAGTTCTAAACTTGGCAAAGAGCCAATATTATCAACTCTTGTGATCATAGAATACATATTCAGGGCATTTATGTAATTAAACCTCGTTACATTTTCTTTCATTCTTTTAACCTAACTCTTGTGATCGGTTTTGCTTTCGTCACCATTGTAATCCGTCTCCGACACAGACCCAGAGTCTTTCCAAAGCCGACTCGCCGCGTTCGATTCCAGGTAAGGCCTCCGACGGCCTTTTGTGCTATGATTTTCTTTCTCTAAACTCTTCTTAATCCGGTGCTTTGTTTGGTGTTATGATATTTTTATCTGGTAATTTGATTATGAGCGAGACCTTGTATGTATGTCGGTCGTGTAATTAAGATGAAATCTTGTACTTTTTATAAGAGATTTTGGCTTTTCGGTGATGCGTTTTTAGATTATTGATGCTAATCTAAGGTTTTTGCTTATGTTATGAAGATTAAATGCCTTTTTGTTGTGTTATACATATATCATTGAAAAGAGAAAAGAGACCAATTACAAAACCTTGAATTGAGAACTTTTTTTAGACGCACCTGAGATCGACCATATAGCATCCTTTATAGCTATTAAAAAAAAGGTACTTTGACTCTTTGAGGATTGAAATCTAATCGAATCAGATCGCAAAAGAAAAATCCTATCTTATTGAACTCAAAATCATAGTCAGCACGTTCCAATAGCACAAGAAAAAGAGGCAGAACTTTATCACTTAGATTCAACATCACCTAAGCAAAACCCTCGATCCGCATCAACAATCTAAAAAAGCATCACCTAATCGCCACAATCCACCGACAAAAAGTTAGGGTTTCATCTCAATTACACGATCGACATACAAGGACTCGTTCACAATCAAATTGCCAGACAAAAAATTCACAAAATTAGACAACAATCAGACCAAACGAAGCACCAGATTAGAGAAACAGAACCGAGGCACAAAGGCCTAACCTGAAATCTAACGCGGCGAGAAAAGGTTCAACTCTTGGAAAGGCAGCTTCAGAATCGCAACAACCGGAGAGAAACTTTTCCCAGCTCGCGATTTTCAGAAGATGAAAAAGACTGTCAGAGAGAGATTACCACGGTGAGGAAAGCAAAACCGATCGGCGAGGAAAAGAAAATAAGAGAGAATTTTTATTTAGGTTGGAGAATGAAAGAAAATCGAACTATTATATAGAGGAAAGATTTTATTGGCAGACTTGAGTCGGCGCTTAAATTTATAATTATAAAAAATCAAATTTTAATCTACCACCGCTAATATGTGCGAGGAACCCACAAATGTTTTATCTTTTTTTTTAAGAAAAAAATCTTAAGGAATGATTAAACTTGAGGGCATGTTTCTTTAGAGTGTAACTTGAGTGTAATTTTTGAGTTAAATTTGAGTTATAATTTGAGTTGAAGTTGTAATTTGAATAAATTTAAGTAAAGTTGAATAAAATTAGAACTTAAAAGAACATAAACTTGAATAAAATTAGAACTTGAGTTGTCTTTTTTTGAGTTTTTTAGACAAAAGAACATGCCCTGAGTTATGTAATAAAAAAGTTAGATTTTAAATTTTTGAAAGAAAATATTATAATGATAGAATTTAAATTGTGATTTGAGTTGTGAACAGAATAACTCTTAAATTTTATAATAGGAGAAATTTTATAGTTTTTCAAGGATAAATAAATAAAAGAAAAATCACTATTTTTAAAGAATTTACTTTCCTTAAAAAAAAAAGAATTTGCTAAGATGATTCTCTACAGAGAGACTAACAAATTATCTTTTATATTTTACAATATAACTTTTCTAATTGTAAAAAATAATATGTTTCAATGTCATTTTATAAATTAATGAGTTTTTTAACATGCTCCGTATATATTGTTCAGTTAAGGACACTTAAAGGGTTTATTATTTACTAAATAATGAGAAATTTATGTATACAATCATTTGAGGATTGAAATCCACTAAATAAAGTTGTAGTTTTACTCTTTTGAGGATTGAAATCCAATTGAACCAGAACGCAAAAGAAAAAACATGTTTCATTGAACTTGTAATTCTAGTCCGTATGTTCCTATAGCACACAACAAAAAGGCATTTAATCTTCATAACATAAGCAAAAACCTTAGATTAGCATCAATAATCTAAAAACGTATCACCGAAAAGCCAAAATATACCGACAAAAAGTACAGGATTTCATCTTAATTACACGACCGACATACATACAAGGTCTCGCTCATAATCAAATTACCAGATATAAAGATCATAAAATCAGAGAACAATCACACCAAACAAAGCACCGGATTAAGAGTTTAGAGAAAGAAAATCGCAGCACAAACAGCTGTCGAAGGCCTTACCTGGAATCGAATGCGGCGAGTCGGCTTTGGAAAGACTCTGGGTTTGTGTCGGAGACGGATTACAATGGTGACGAAAGCAAAACCGATCACAAGAGTTAGGTTAAAAGAATGAAAGAAAATGTAACGAGGCTTAATTACATAAATGCCCTGAATATGTATTCTATATGTTTTTTTTTTTTTTGGGAAAATGCAATAAGTAGCATATGTATTCAATGTTAGTAAATAAAAGCATAATTTAATTATGATTCTGGAAATAAATGCTCTTCTTTAAATTTACCCTTCAATTAGGATTTTCATTATTTTCTCTCAGATTACGAAACTCAACCCTCGCTCAGTTTAGTATTACTTTTTCTCCCAAAATCAACTTCTACTTGTAGCAGAAGTTGATTTTAGTGTTTGGTAAATCTCTTTAAAAGTGCTTTTTAAAATTTTTTTTAAGAATCTACAACCAAAATTAAAAGCAGCTTAAAGACAACTTTAGCTTATAGATTGTGTGAAAATCAGCATAGTACAATTAATGAAACTTTCATAATATCCATAATACCCCTAATAAAATTTAAAATTTACAATATTTTCAATCTAAAATTCAGACTCGTAATATAATATAATATAATATAGTTGTAATTTTTAATTATATTATAACTGAAATATTAATATTTTTTATGTAATATTATAATATGTTTTATAATATTGTAATTATATTAACCATTTTAATAATATTATTATATTCTATATCATAGAAATATAATATGTTATTAAATAGTAGTTTTATTTTATTATATTAAATATAATAATAAATATACATTATATTATAATTATATATATTATATTATAATATAATATAATATAGTTGTAATTTTTAATTATATTATAACTGAAATATTAATATTTTTTATGTAATATTATAATATGTTTTATAATATTGTAATTATATTAACCATTTTAATAATATTATTATATTCTATATCATAGAAATATAATATGTTATTAAATAGTAGTTTTATTTTATTATATTAAATATAATAATAAATATACATTATATTATAATTATATATATTATATTATAATATAATATAATATAGTTGTAATTTTTAATTATATTATAACTGAAATATTAATATTTTTTATGTAATATTATAATATGTTTTATAATATTGTAATTATATTAACCATTTTAATAATATTATTATATTCTATATCATAGAAATATAATATGTTATTAAATAGTAGTTTTATTTTATTATATTAAATATAATAATAAATATACATTATATTATAATTATATATATTATATTATAATATAATATAATATAGTTGTAATTTTTAATTATATTATAACTGAAATATTAATATTTTTTATGTAATATTATAATATGTTTTATAATATTGTAATTATATTAACCATTTTAATAATATTATTATATTCTATATCATAGAAATATAATATGTTATTAAATAGTAGTTTTATTTTATTATATTAAATATAATAATAAATATACATTATATTATAATTATATATATTATATTATAATATAATATAATATAATCATAATTTTTAATTATTCACAGTAATTTAATCTCATAATTTATTAAATGTTATTATATTGATTTTAAAATTAATAGAGTTACTATAATTATAATTTATAAAACACTCAACTACTACTTCTTTCAATACAACTAAAAATAATTTTTTTAAAATCTACAGTACTACCAAATTAAGCCTCTATCTTTCTTATATTCTTTCTCTCTCTTCCTCGCCAATCTCATAATCTCTCTCAATTCCCCCCCTCTCTCTCTCTCTCTCTTATTTTTCTATCCCCGGAGATTGTTGAATCTCTGATTCGCAGTTCGAGGACGACGGTGATGGAGATCACCATGATCTCTCGCGATGCGTAACATCGTTACCACCGGAGTTGTCGCAAGTTCGAGCAGTGACAGAGGCAGACATTGTTGTGATCTCCAACAGAGATCGCAAATCGAGGTTGTCATTTCACAGATCGACGCGTTGCGCCGCAAACCAAAGCTTCTTTGGTGTCAGATATGCTCTCTCCTCCCCTCGTGAAGTTTGTAGTTTCCTCTGCCTTCCGAAGCTTAGAGATTGCAAATGGAACCATACCGAAACTTCTCCAGCGTTAGATTTGCTCTCTCATCCCCTCGCAAAGTCTGGTCTCGTCTGTCATCCAAAGCTCGAAGATCACAAATGAAAAAGGACGTTGATCTGGTTCAGCCTTTCTGGTCGCCTTCATCGCCGAAATCGTCACCATCAGATCCTTTCCTACATCGCCTCTGCAGATCGCGCGAAGGAATTGTAAGAGGAGATCGACCGCGGTGACTTTAGGTGCGACAACTTCAGGTGCGACAACTTCAAGTGCGACAACTGCTGCGGGGGTTGCAACGGCAGTTTCCTTGGTTGGCAATGCTAGAGTAAACATTTGAGAAATTTGGGGGCTTTTTTTTTCAATTTGTTACCTATTGTGAGAAATTTTAGAATTTTTTGTGTAATATGAGAATAATGATGAAAATATGTTATTATTGTGTATTTTTGTAAATTTGAGCTTTTTTGGATATGATTTTGTGAAAAATATAACAAACATGATATTTACTGGTATTTTTTTTACTTAAAGATATTTACTGCTATTTACTAGTATTAATAATGATTAAATTTGTGATTTAAGATATGAGTTTGTGATTTATTTTACTAGTAAATAGAATATTTTATCAGTTGTTGGTATCGACAGCCGGATTTTTAGATTTCTAGAAGAATATGGTATTCACCAGTCGTCGGAACCAGTCACCGGATTTTCAAATAAATAGTAAATACAATATTTATTAATAAATATGATATTTATCAGTAAATACGGTGTTTACCAATCTCTAGAGCCGGTCACCTTATTTTCAAATTAATATAGTAAATATGGTATTTACCAATAAATATAGTATTGTAACACCTTGAAGAATTAAATAAGATTAATTAAGGTAATTGAGATTTATTAGTGTGCCTAATCTAGTTTAATTAATCAATTACTGGATATTAAATGTTTCTTACGTGTAAATTTAAATAATTTCAAGGTATTTAAATATTCTCCGTAATTACATTTGTACCCAGAAGTGTGTGTGGGCACATTTTCTGGACTGTCATTTTAAATACTTGGACACCTATTTTTCTTTTCTTTTTCCTTTTCTTTTCTTTTTCTTTCTTTTCCTTCCTTTCCTTTCCTTCCCGAGCACCCTTTCTCTCTCTCTTCACTCTTGTTCTCACTCTCTCCCGTTTTGATTCAAACAACCAAATCTCGAACCAAAGATAAATTTCAAGAAGTTTTCAACATTAAGAGATGGATTTGAGGTGAGAGTTCTGAAAAACCTCTCTTGATTCTTGGATTTTTGAATTTAGAAACCCTATTTTGGTTCGGACTGAATTTTGATGCATTTTGACTAAAATCATGGTAAAAATTAGGGATCTTGAGTTCTTTAGACTTGATTTAGTACTTAAAACCCGGATTCAGGTGTTTTCCCTTGAGATATTTCGATTTGAGACTTGGATTTGCAGGTTTTGTGCTGATTTTCTTCGGATCAGCCATGTTGGCCATCCAACACTGATCCCACCGGTCGATTGGATTGCACTACAACAGGTCGACCTGTGCGGTCGACCGAAGTGCACACCACCGGTCGACCGGTGGTGTTGCACTGCTCTGTCACCGGTCGACCGATGTACTCAGGGTTTGACCCTGTTTTGACCTCAGTTTTCGAGGAGAACTCAAATTAGCTTCATTTGGGGACCTAGAGTGAATGGATTAACTTCTTTAATCCATGTTTTGATATTGAATATAATGATGATTTGAAACATGAAATGGTTTGTGAAACCGGTAATTGAATTATGACACACTAATAGGAAATCAATGGTATAATTGAAATTGAAATTGCTTTAGGAATGTGAATTTGATCCTAAAGCGTGGTTTGTATCAGTGCTAGCTGAGAACTCGGATTGAGGGGCTTTGAGTAAGCGAAAGTCGGAATAGTGTAACGCTAGCCAGGTTTGGTACTTGTGAGGTAGGATTTCTTACCATTTCCTTTGTGAGCCTGTTTTCAAAAGAATTTTGGCCTTGCAAACATTTAAAGAAAGGGCATGTTTGTGAAAGAAAAATATTTTAACCCCCATGGCTTGTTATAGTTCTGGAGAGTATAATGAACTGTTTCATAAAGTTTAATGAATGATTTTTTAAGATAAGAGATCTTGCAAATCGGTAAACCGGCTGATGGCCTACATAGGATGTGGAGAGTGCATCCTTGGGGGCAGAACCTGAAACCTGGCCCGGGGTCATATGGCTTGTGCACGTGGTTGTGTAAGTAATTTATCGTAGTATAAATTACTTGATGATGCTTGTAATACAGAGATTTTCAGTTATATTTGCTTTGAGAAAAAGGATGTGAGGTTTCGGCTGTTGTGTTGGAACTGAATGTCTATATTTATTCATTTACTTATTTGTTTACTCATTTATTTACTTATTTACGAAGTTATTTCACAATATATCCCACTGGGCCTTTTGCTCACGTTTTATTGTTTTATAAATATTAACCCTTCTTAGGCGATTCTAGAAGCAGTGCGGAGTAGCTGAGTTACTACCACCTGATTAGGAGAGGATTGTATTCTTCCTCCTTGTGAGTAAATGTAAGAAATGTAACTCCTGTAAACTCTGAATATTTGGATTTCTAGACTGTGGTTGATGTCTGTAATGTTATATACATGTTCATGTATGTACCATACTGCATATCCTGTAGGTGAAGCCCTGAACGGTGTCAGAGGCTTAGTTATAAACCTCTTGTATCCAGTAATTTATTTTCAGTGCAATGTGGGGCTCGTTTGGGAATTTCCTTAATGTTTTATTCTCAATCGCGTTTAACCCCTAATCAAGCCTCCACGTCACCGACCTTAGCTTCAGAACGTGACAAGTATTTATCAGTCGCCAGAGTCGATCGCCGGATTTTTAAATAAATATAGTAGATACATTATTTATCAATAAATATGCTATTTACCACTCTTCATAGTGGATCGTTGGATTTTCAAATTAATATGGTAAATATGGTATTTACCAGTCACCGAATGTAGTTGTCGAAATATAGTTGCTGGAGCCGGTCACCGAATTTTCAAATAAATAAGGTAAATACGGTATTTACGAGTAAATACGATATTTACCAGTCTTTGGAGTTGATCGTCAGATTTTTAGATTAATACGGTAAATGTGATATTTATCAATAAATATAGTATTCACCAGTCACTGGATACAATTGCCAGAAAATGGACGCGGGCGACGATCGTTGAAAAACATTCATCGGAGTTGGCAGCCGCAGTTGCCTACCGGCGCTGGCCATAATGGACTTGCCTAGGGAGAAAAGAGAGAGAAATAGGAATGAGACTTAGAAATATTTTTGAGTTTTTAATCATATTTGAAACTTAGGTATCAAATTACACTATAATATATTATTTCAAAAAAAAAAAAAATTTTACTAAATAACCTATCAAATATGTGTTTCCCTCTTTTCTCCCTTTTGTTCCCTACTGTGGCTCAGCTGACGTCGAAAACTTTAATCCAACCAATCAATAACTAGTTGGAGTCGGTGTAAACAAAAACTATAGAAGTGATTCGAGTCTCTTTCCAGTGAAAAACATAGTCGAATATCAGAAATCACGGTTCACCCACATGAAGCGCAATGTCGGAAAGCTGGTAGAAGATGGATTATACAAGAAAGCTCTCTTCTTATATTCCAAGAGCTCTTCTTCTAGTTCTCGACGGCCTCACAGATTCACGTTCCCTCCTCTCCTCAAAGCTTGCGCCAAGCTCCAGGCCGCTTCGCATGGCCAAATGCTGCACACCCATCTCCTCAAAACCGGGTTTTCGTCCGATTCCTATGCCGCTACAGCTCTCACTGGAATGTACATGAATATCCGTCTCTTCCGCGACGCCCTCAAGGTGTTCGACGAAATGCCTCACCGAAGCTTGGCGTCCATGAACGCGGTGCTTTCTGGGCTGGCGCAAAATGGGCATTTTTGGGAGGCGTTGGATGTGTTTAGGAGTGGGAGATATGGAGATTTCAGACCCAATTCTGTTACGTTAGCTAGCTTGTTGTCAACGTGTGGAAGTGTTGGTTTTGCTGAGATATTGTATTGCTGGGCGACAAAGTTGGGCGTTGAGAAGGATGTTTACGTCGCGACGGCGATTTTGAGCGTTTATTCGAAGTTTAAAGACATGGTTTTGGCTGCTAAGGTGTTTAATGGGATGGATAACAAGAATTTAGTGAGCTATAATGCCTATGTTTCGGGGCTGCTCCAGAATGGATTTTCGCTTGAGGTCCTGGCTGTGTTTAAGCAAATGATGGAAGTTTTGGACGAGAGACCTAGTCATGTTACGTTGGTTTCTGCTATTTCTGCATGTGCTAGGCTTTTGTATGTTCTACTTGGCAGTCAGGTTCATAAGTTGGCAATGAAATTTGGTCTGGCGCGTGATGTTATGGTCGGGACAGCACTTGTTGACATGTACTCCAAATGTGGTTGTTGGTGGCGAGCCAGCAATGTTTTCGAGGAACTGAGCGGAGACCGGAACTTGGTAACGTGGAACGCCATTATATCAGGAATGATGCTGAATGCTCAAAGCTTAAGGGCTGTACTGTTGTTCAGACGATTGATAACTGATGAAGGGCTACAACCTGATTTAGCGATTTGGAATTCGATGATTGGCGGGTTTTCACAACTAGGAAAGGGGACTGAAGCGTTTAAGTACTTTAAGCTAATGCAATGTTATGGCATTTCACCAAATTCAAAGTCGATGACCAGCATGTTATCGGCTTGTTCGGGTTTGTCCGCTCTGCGAAGCGGAAAAGAGATCCATGGATATGCAACAAGAATGCATGCTAAGATTGATACGGTCATGGCCACTGCACTTATTGACTTGTACATGAAATGTGGGCATTCTTCTTGGGCACGGAGAGTTTTTTATTGGTTTAATGTGAAACCTGAGGACCCGGCATTTTGGAACGTAATGATATCTGGGTACGGAAGAAATGGAGATGATGAATCTGCAGTTGAAATATTTGACCAAATGGTGGGGGCAAAAGTTCCACCAAATGCTGCAACTTTCGTGAGTGTGCTATCTGCTTGCAGTCACAGTGGCCAGGTAGACAAAGGACTGGGAATATTCGGGATGATGATTACGGAGTTTGGGCTAAAACCAAATCCAGTTCATTTTAGTTGCATGGTTGACCTTTTGGCTCGGTCTGGTAGGTTAGAAGACGCCAGAGAATTAGTGCAGGGATTGTTGGAGCCTAGCGCATCTGTTTTTGCTTCTTTGCTCGGTGCTTGTAGGGCTAAGTTAGATTCCGAGCTGGCCGAAGAAATGGCCAAAAAGCTTTTAGAATTAGAGCCAGAGAGCCCAATTCCATACGTAGTTCTGTCTAACATATATGCTGAGCTAGGAAGGTGGAAAGATGTGGAAAGAGTTCGAGGAATGATGAATCATAAAGGACACAGAAAGGCCCCCGGATATAGTTTTATAGAAGTGAGTTGATAGTTTTACATATCATTCATTAAAAACATTGCAACTCAATTGTTCCAAAGTCCGAAAAACCGACTTTTTCTTTTCAATAGAGCTCCTGAAAATGAAACTTTTCACTGGTTGAGCATCTCTTTCATGGAAAACCCAAAGTAGCTATCGAAATGGTTGGAGGGTTCATGAATGAAGCAGGAAATCACATCCCTGAGTGTAATGACACCGACAACCTCGTCCTCGCCAGCAACCACGCAAATCCTGTGAACCGACTTGGACGCAAGACTGTGGATTACAGAGCCAAGAGTTGAATCAAGTTTGCATGTAATTGGTGGGACAATTCTTCCAGTTTCTTGGCTTGCTGAGACAATGGTGTTCATGAAGTCCTCAACAGTAAGCTTTCTGAAAAGAAGAAGAAGAAGAAGAAGAAGAAGAAGAAGAAGAAGAAGAAGAAGAAGAAGAAAAAAGCGCAAATGACGTGAGTTGACCAAAACTTGGGACTTTTCTATTCTTCAGCCAAAATTTGGTGTGCCATTTTTTTTTTTATTACAATTACGGTACTGTTTTCGTAGCAGTCTTCCTCAATATGAGGCATTGCTGAAACAAAATAGATTAATTTTTTTTAACCAAACTGAAGTAGTGAAGATCTACATTCTAATGTGCAGGCTGAAGAACACATGGTGAAAGATGCTAAAATTGCACTTGTCCACAAACAAGTTCAAACTTTGCCTTTTCCCTTGGCCCTACCTGAAATTGGAGAAAAGCTCAGGTTTAAGCAGCAAGAATCTGATGTCCCTTATGCTGAGATTTCCAACCATCTTCTTCTTTGGCCCCTTTATAACTGGGAGACCACCAATTTGATTGTCTCTCATTCGCTTGAAAGCTTCCAGAACCAGTTCATCGCTCTGAATGCTAATAACCTAGCAAGTTTAATTTATGAGCTTTGCTAACCAGTTCAATGTTTAGCAATAAGATTACTACAGTTATGATGTAAAGCTTACTTCATCATAAGACATGAAAGGAAGTCCCAAGTCAGAGATGGGCAGGGCAGCAATGCAGTCAAACCAGTCTCTTCCTTTGCATCCTTCTAAACCCTGAACAACTGCCGATTGTGTAATGAAGTTCTTAATATCGGGCTGGCCCGGTTCGATTACTGGGACATTCCTCAATCTATACTTTGAGAGTAGAAGTAGGACGCTCAGCATTGAACTATCGGGGGCTACCGGAATGAAAGGCGCCCACCGGTAGGATTTAAGTATAGAGCTCACCTGAAACAAATAAAGTAATAGCATCGTATAGATAGTTCACTTGGTTTTCTATCAAGTGATTCAGAAATGAATTCTTTACGCAAATGTATTTACAAAAACCATATTATGTTGACAAGTAAAATACTATTAGCCTGTATGGATAGTCTTCTTTTTGGAGTTGAACTTACAGTAGTTGACTTGAAGGGCTCCTCCTGCAGCAAGACTTTGTAGAAGTCATCGCCTAATTTATCCGCGGCCGTGGGAGCATCTTTCCCCATGCCTTTATCTGCAGCCACGCCACCAGCCACAGCAGCACCGACCGCGGCAGCAGTTAGGCCTGCAACTGCAGCCGGGCCGGTCGCTCCCAACGCTACTGCTCCGAGAGCACCAATGGCGCCTGCGCCGACTCCCGCAGCCATTGCAGTGCTAGCTGATAGAGCAACCGCAGCAAGCTCTGCACCCTCCAACACCCACAGAATTATGGCAGAGTAATCTATGATCCCTAGGTATCTGTCTTTCCAATCTGAACTGGTTCTTGCTTCTGGGTTTTTCACAGGAGCTGACAAGATTTTGCACTCGGAAAGAATCTTCACTGCCTCAGCTACAGATGTGTCCGCAAGGATCTCAATGACTGCAACAAATAATTTGACGTAAAAAAAAAAAAAGAGGACCCTTTTTAGCTATTTGTTCATGAGTGAAAATTACATTCATATATAGACAGTGATGAAATTGTTGAACTAGTAGTTTCTGCTGCTAACTATTTATTACCTTTGCCTCCAGGGACTAATGGGAAACATGAAACTGGAATCCTTGCAAATGCAGCTGTTAAAGTCTCCTGTAATGCGCTTGGTAACTTTTTCCTTGATTGAATCTTCTCGAAATAGGCATCATAGCTTGACAGTTTGTAACTTTCTTTGTTCTCTTGTGCTTGTGCCATCTTAGACTAAAGGTCACAAAAAATTTGGTTAAATTAATAACAACAGATATATAGCATTTTTTGTAGGAATTTGGAGACCTGCAATTTTTGAAGGTATGGAACAAAAAATAAAATAAAATAAAATAAAATAGCCCAGTGATTTCTTTTGTTCAACTTTGGAAGTTCCAGCCAAAGAATTTTTATGCTTCATCTTGTTTTCAACCAATTAATGGTTCACCAGTTTTAGTTGCCTTAAGGAGATGGTTTTTTTTTTTTTTTTTTGCTGAAATTAAAGAGTACAGTTTTTGAAAACGAGGTTTTGATACAAAATTATGGCAGTTCATGTTCAAAAGTCCTGATCTTGTCTATTACCATCATGGATCTAAACGAACAAAGAAATAAAATAACAAAAAAAAAAAAAAAAACATGAAACATGCGTGTGGATTAAACAATCTAACAATTAGAAAAAAATGGAAAATATTTCGAGAATTGGTAATATAAAAAAAATTGTACCTTTTTAAGTTCTGCTTCCTATGAATTGAGGAGTTGGGTTATGGTGTTCTTGTGAGGAAGCTCTTCTGGCCACATTCTCTTTAAAGACGGTTAATCTGGTTTTGCGTGCATGGATCCGCGTTTCGCCATGTGTGGTCACTTTACACATAGCGGGTTCTCATGATTGCCACTTGTTACTGGCGAAGTGGTGTGATTACTGAAGGAATCTGGTGGGCCTGGCCGATCTGACTTTGTTGGGCCAGGCTCAATGGAAAGGAGGCCCACCACATACACATCTGTTTTTAATTTTCATTTTTTTTCAGTAATTATAGTAAATAGCAGCTCTCCTGAAAATAGTACATGGTTTGAAAGCAACAGTAGTAAATAGCAGATTTTGTACTCCTCGGAGAAATTACAAAAGAATAGAAATTATGGCAAATGATATTTATTAAAAAAATATGAGAAGAAATAGTGATGGCGATAGAACAATTATCGGGAGGAGAAAAGGCACAAAAGACCCCCTTTATTTATTTATTATTATTTATTTATTTTTTTGCTCTGAAGGCACAAGAGACTTTTAACGATTTTTGAATTTTTTATGTAAGGGGTGCTATTTATTTCTATATCCTAAAATTTATATTATCACTTCCAAAAATGTGTCATTTTCATCGTTCTATCTCTTAATGTTTTTGCTGGAAATAGAAAAAGATATAATTAACGTGATTAGTGATATGTGGTCCATGAGAGACCAACGTTATACGTGTAGGACAATGGGTTAACAAACCAATTTAATTGACACTTTGTCAGTAAAGCGAAATTTTTTCGTGACCCCGTCTAGGTTTTGGATAAGATCACTGTCAATATATATAAGTAGAACATCATGATTCGTATGCTCAAACGTCTCTTAAGGGTGACAATTCGTATCTCGTGTCGTGTTTTGATAGTTTGTTTTTTAAAATTTACAGTCAAACTGAACACGACTCGTGACACGAAATTTTTTAAAAATTATAACATGAACACGACACGACCACTTTACGGGTTAACACGACACAACATGAAAATGAACCGTGACACGAAATTGACCTGTGAACCCGAAATTAACAAGAAAATTGTATACTTTTATTTAGTTTTTTACATATTAAAAATAACTTAAAATTCATAACACACTAAAATACAACATCAATTGAAATTAAGCAAATAATAGTATAAGATTTTGAGTATAACTATCATGATATCACAAGTTCATAATAAAATCAAAAATATGTAATGAAAAGTATATGTATTTTTTAGTTTTTTACGAGTTTCGTGTCGTGTTTGAGTTAGGCGGGTCCAACTCGAAATTGATCAGTGTTTTTTGTGTCAATTTTAGGTCGACCCAATTCTGACCCGAACCTCTTTTTTCTCAACCCTAACCCGTGAAATTCGTATCGTTTTCGAGTCATGTTGTCGTGTTGTGACCCATATTGCCGGCCCTACTATCTCTATTCATCCTAACTCGGGTTTAGGGATAAAAAAGAAGTAGGTGGCCCTCACAATATGAGCCCCACGATGTATGATTCACCTCTACCTCTAATAAACTCGTCACAGTCGGAATGAATAATATTTTTCTTTTAAGAAAAATAAATAAATAAATGCTCGTTTTGTCTTTGTTTTGTTAAATTTTATTTACGGAAGCCACCATTAGTTTTTCCAATCTTTAACGACCATAAACTGTTTTATTTCGTCGGTGGGAAATCACGACATCATGCGCTAGGCTTTCTGTATCAACTTTGAGCCGGATCATTTAGGAAAGAAGATGAGATTAAGAATAATACGGTAAGCCCTCATCCCTTCTTTTGTTACTAGTTAAAAAAAAAACGGAAACAAAAAAGGTTATTGATCAAAGACAAGATAAATATACTCTATTTACCAAATTTCAGACCTCAACTAACATGAATCACTTTTTAGACTACACAATATTATGCACTGTTGGGATTGTTTAAATATAATATATAAGAATTTATTAAGTTTTATCACATCTAAAAGCGGACATAATTTTCAGCAAGTAGGGTGCTTTGGCACTGAGTTTGGGCGCCGCGGTGCTAGAATGGACATAATTTCCAGCAAGCATGGCGCTTTGGTGCTGAGTTTGGGCGCCGCAGAATTGGACTGGAAGAGGGCATAGCGCCACGGCGCTGAGTTTGGGCGCTGCGGCGCTTGGGCTTGCGCATACAGTTTCTGGTTTTCCAGAAACTGGCGCTGCAGCGCCCGAAACTAGCGCCGCAGCGTCGTAACGATTAGACACATTTTTTGACACTTGAATTGACACCAATTCAATTGGGAAATGTGTCTTTTCAAGTTTGGTTGTGTCTATATGTATTGGTGTGATAAAAAACTAAAAAAAGAACAAGAATTGCTGATAAATAAAGAGAAAAAATTCTCTAAAATTCTTCTCTCTTCTTGTTCAAAATTTCTAGAAATTCTAAGAGTTCTGTGTTCTTAGTGTTGTTGTCATTTTGCTTGTGATTAACAACTTGAAGGCTTGTCATATCCTGCGAGTGATTTGTCGAGAACCTGAAGCAATCTCTAACGAGAGGGGGCAAATTAAGCTTTTAAGGAAAGCGTATTTTCTACGTGTTTCAAGTCTCCTTTCCCTCAAGATTTCCAACAATCTTAAAGCATAATTTTGCTGCAATGGAGACCGAAACTACCGTTGCCACTATCAAATTGATGAACTGGGACTTGGTTAAATTGGATCGCTTTGATGGGACTAATTTTACAAGGTAGCAGGACAAATTGAAGTTTCTCTTGACTGCATTGAAGATTTTCTATGTTTTGAGCCCAGATTCGGAGCCTATTCCCAAACCAACCGATGATGACACTGAAACGTTAAAGGCGGAACAAAAGAAACGAGAAGAGAATGAGTTGATATGTCGTGGCCACATTCTCAATGCTCTCTCTGATCGTCTCTATGATCTCTACACCAATACATCTTTTGCAAAATAGATTTGGAACGCATTGGAGTTCAAATACAAAGTGGAAGAGGAAGGTACCAAGAAATTCTTAATTTCAAAGTATTTTGATTTTAAATTCTTTGATGATAAACAAATTTTACCACAAGTGCATGAATTGCAAGTGATTATCAATAAGTTGAGGGCTGTGAAAATCAAACTTCTAGAATCATTTCAAGTAGGAGCAATTATTGCTAAATTGCCTTCTACTTGGAAAGGATATAGGAAGAAGATTTTGCATAGTTCTGAAGATTTTTCATTGAAGCACTTACAAAAACATCTTCAGATCGAAGAGGAGTCAAGGGTAAGAGATAAGAATGAAAATTCTTATGAGACTATTTCCAAAGCTAATGTCATGACTAAGCCTTCACAAACCAACAAGAACAAGAATTTGGGTCCTAAAAAGGATCAAGACAAATTCAAAAAGACACAAGCCAACAAGAAACCCAAAGGAGCATGCTTTGTGTGTGGCAAAGCAGGACACTATGCAAGAGATTGCCGCTACAAAAAGAAGCCTAGCGATGAGGCTAAGGTGAACTCTGTTGAAGAGGAAGAGATTGTCGCTACTGTGAGCGAAATCAATGTGGTACAAGGCAAGGTTCTCGGATGGTGGTATGACACTTGTGCTACCGTTCATGTTTCCTATGATAGATCTCTATTCAAAACTTTCTAAGATGTGAGTGACAGACAAGAAATTCAAATGGGGAATGAAGTTCGTTCCAAAGTGCTTGGCAAAGGGAGTGTGGAACTTGCATTCACTTATGGGAAGAAAATCACTCTAGCCAATGTACTTTATGTACCCGATATGAATTACCCGATATGAATAGAAATCTAATTAGTGGGGATCTTTTGGGTAAGCCAGGGATTAAGGCTGTGTATGAGTCGGGCAAGTTAATCTTATCCCGAAATGGTTCTTTTGTTGGAAAAGGCTATTCCAGTAAGGGAATGGTCAAACTATGTACTATTGACAATTCTATTAATAAAAATGTTGATTCCGCTTATATGGTTGATTCTGTTTCTTTATGGCATAGTAGATTTGCACATATTGGTATATCAACTATGAAAAGAATGATCAAGTGTTGATTATTCAATTGCGACGTTGATAATTTTAAAAAATGTGAAATATGTGTTAAATTTAAAATGATAAAGAAGCCGTTTCATAGTGTTGAAAGAAATTCTCAATTATTAGAATTAGTGCATTCCAATATTTGTGAATTAAATGAAATGATTACAAGAGGTGGTAATTGTTATTTCATTACTTTCATAGATGATGCATCTAGGTATACATATGTTTATTTATTGAAACATAAAGATGAAGCCTTTAATGCATTTAAGGTATATAAAACGGAAGTAGAAAATTAATTGGGAAGGAAAATTAAAATTCTTATGAGTGATAGAGGAGGTGAGTACTTTCCAAATAATTTTAATACATTTTGTGAAGAAAATGGCATTATACATGAATGTTCTGCACCTAGAACACCTGAACAAAATGCTTTAGCTGAGAGGAAAAATTGAATTTTTCTTGAGATGATTAATGCTTTGATATTACATTCTGAATTGCCATTTAATTTGTGGGGTGAAGTCCTCCTTAGTGCATGTCATATTCTTAATAAAATTCCTTCTAAGAAAAATAAAACATCTCCATATGAGATATGGAGAGGAAGAAAACCTAATATAGGGTATTTCAAAGTGTGGGGGTGTCTTGCTTATTACAAGAACACCGATCCTAAAAGGACGAAACTAGATCCTAGAGGGATTAGGTGTGCCTTTGTAGGGTATGTGGTAAATAGCAATGCATATAGACTCTTGAACTTGGAGTCTAATGTGATAGTTGAATCAAGATATGTAGAATTCTTTGAAGATTTGTTGGCAAATAAGGACAAGTCTCAAAGTTCTACATATGAAGAATCTCGTGAGGAGATATCTTCAATGATCATTGAACATCCAATTGAGCTAAGGAGAAGCAAGAGAATCCGTAAAGAGAAAAGTTTAGGATCAGATGAGATTGATTCTCAACTTATTTCCTTTTACTTAGTAGAAGGAAGTAAGAGTAATGTCATTAGGAAAATTCCTATGATATTACAAGTGGAGGATGATCCCAAAACTTTTAAGGAAGCGATGGCTTTTAGGGATTCAATTTTTTAGAAGGATGCTATCAATGATGAGATGAATTCAATAATGTCAAATCACACTTGGGAGCTTGTCAATTTACCACCAGGTTCCAAACTTATTGGTTGTAAATGGATGTTTAGAAGAAAGTATCATACCGATGGTACTTTAAACACTTTTAATGCTAGATTGGTAGCTAAAAGGTATCAACAAAAAGAAGGAATTGACTATTTTGATACATATGCACATGTAGCACGAATAACGACTATTAGGATGTTGTTTGCATTGGCATTAATCCATAGTCTATATGTTCATCAAATGGATGTCAAGACGGCACTCTTAAACGATGATCTCGATGAAGAGGTCTATATGGAATAACCGGAAGGTTTTGTTCTACCAGGATTTGAACATAAAGTGTGTAAACTTGTAAAATCATTGTATGGATTGAAACAAGCACCAAAACAATGGCATGAAAAGTTTGATTCAGCTATACTTTCACATGGTTTTGTTCATAATACTTCAGATAAATGCTTATATACAAAGGTGTGTAATAAGTGTATTATCTTTGTATGTCTTTATGTTGATGATATGCTAATTGTGAGTAATGACATGAAAGGCATAGAAGAAACGAAGAGGTTTCTATCATCCACATTCATGATGAAAGATCTTGGTCAAGTGGATACAATACTGGGTATCAAAGTTAGACTGAATAGTGGGGGGTAAGGTCTAACTCAATCACACTATATTGAGAAAGTGTTGAAAAAGTTCAGTCACTTAAAGATAAAGGAAGTCAGTACTCCATTTGATCCTAGTGTAAAATTTTTCAAGAATGATGGAAGAGCAGTGGCTCAACTTGAGTATGCAAGTGCTATTGGTTGTCTTATGTATGTAGTGCAGTGCACAAGACCTGATATAACATTTGCTGTTAGTAAATTGAGTAGATTTACTAGCAATCCAAGTGTTGAACATTGGAAGGCCATTGGTAGAGTTTTAGGTCTCCAATATTGAAAATTCCCTGTTGTTCTAGAAGGATATACAGATGCAAGTTGGATATCAAGTATTGGAGATAACAAATCAACGACTGGTTGGGTGTTCATTCTGGGAGGAGGTGCTATTTCTTGGAAATCGAAGAAACAGACCTGTACAACACACTCAACTATAAAGTCAGAATTTGTTGCATTAGCAGCAGCTGGGAATGAAGCAGAGTAGTTAAGGGACCTATTGTTGGAGATTCCTTTGACTATGAAGGATGTATCAGCGATATCAATACATTGTGATAGTCAAGCCACTTTAGCTCGAGCATATAGCGAGATATACAATGGAAAGTCAAGACATATGAGTCTTAGACATGATTATGTAAGGAAATTAATCAAAGATGGAATAATTTCTCTTAAATATGTGAAATCCATTGAAAATTTGACAGATCCTTTTACTAAAGCTCTTTCGAGAGATTTAGTAAGGGCGACGTCAAATGGGATGGAGCTAAAACTCCTGGATTAAAATCCACCAATGATGGCAACCCAATCTAACATTACGAAATGAGTAATTTTAGATTCAATGAGTAATAACAAATCATTGATAAGTGGAGAATTTCAACACTAACCATTAAGCCTAAAAAGAATTTTAATGCTGGTTGTTACTGTGTGAGGGATGAGTTAAGATTAACTCTTAATGAAGTTCAGTTTTAAGAACAAGTATCTTAAAAGTAACAAAGATGCTGGAAGAACTTCACCTATGTAAACTTAGAGGTGGTGCCGTCTCAAAGAAGAGTTGGAGCTTCTCTTTGAAAAGTTTATGAATCAGGATTATACAAGGCCATGAATAGTGCAAAGCGAGTGTTGTATAGAATACTTGAACTCTAATGTATTTATGTGTGTGGATTCACCGGTATTATCATAAGGAATAACCGGTTCAAAGCCTTAGGCTACTTGAAATTCTAATATACATTTGTGAAACTTACACTAAAGGTAAAATTCAAATCGAAAGATATTTTACTTTATGCATATATACAGTTTCTGGATAGAATTCTTCAATATTATGTTTAAACAAGTGATGGATTGTTGGGATTGTTTAAATAGAATATATAAGAATTTGTTAAGTTTTATCACATCTAAAAGCGGACATAATTTCCAGCAAGTAGGACGCTTTGGCGCCGAGTTTGGGCGCCGCGGCATTGGAATTGACATAATTTCCAGCAAGCATGGTGCTTTGGTGCTGAGTTTGGGCGCCGTGGCGTTGAACTGGACAAAGAGCATAGCACCACGGCGCTGAGTTTGGGTGCCGCGGTGCTTGGGCTTGCTCAGACAGTTTCTAGTTTTCTAGAAACTGGCGCTGCAGTGCCCGAAACTGGCGCCGCGGCGCCGTAACGATCAAACACGTTTTTTAACACTTGAATTGACACCAATTCAATTGGGAAAGGTGTCTTTTCAAGTTTGGTTGTGTCTGTACATATTGGTGTGATAAAAAATTATAAAAAGAACAAGAATTACTGATAAATAAAGAGAAAAAATTCTCTACAATTCTTCTCTCTTATTGTTCAAAATTTTCAGAAATTCTAAGAGTTCTTGTGTTCTTAGTGTTGTTGTCATTTTGCTTGTGATTAACAACTTAAAGGCTTGTCATATCCTACGAGCGATTTGCCAAGAACCTGAAGCAATCTCTAATGAGAGGGGGCAAATTACGCTTTAAGAAAAGTGTATTTTCTACGTGTTTCAAGTCTCATTTCTCTCAAGATTTCCAACATGAATCACTTTTTAGACTACACAATATTATGCACTATATACTAATTAACCAATATTGCATGGCCTAAAAAATGTTCATATCAGTCGCTAATCCAAAATTTGATAGAATGATCGAGCTTATACCCGTAGAAAGTATTACACATCAAAATCATATATATCATGACCTGTACTCGTGCAAAGGGTAAATTGTCAACCAAAAAAGCATATACAACATGCACAATATATATATATATATATATATATATATATATATATGTCAACATCTCAAACTAGCTTAGCTAATAATAGAACCTACTAAGATATATATCTCGAGTGATGGTTTTTTTTTTTTTTAGGCCCCATGACTTCCACCATTACCAACAAATGACGTGAGAGCAGCTGCTAAAGCGGATTTGAAATTTGGGTTTGATGTAATGGCCTTAGTTGCGGCAGCTATAGTCTCTGTCAACGACTGTTGATTTGTTAAAGCCGTACTGATCTGATTATTATTATTAGTAGTAGTACTACTACTGCTGTTCAAGTAAGGTTGATAGAATAGTTGCTTATTGTAGTTTCCATTGGACCCAACTGGATAATTTCTATAGTTCAAGTAGCCATTGTAGGGGTTACTAATAATAGGCTCCAAAGAAGAGGAAGAAGAAGATGATGAGGAAAAGCTGAGACACGTGGACGGATATGATCTGGTGTTGGAAGAAAGACCTCTTCCGAGAATATCATGAGAAGAATAGTGGTGGTTTGGGAGGGTGAGATCAAGAGTGACGGTTGGGTGAGAATTGTGGGTTGAGATTGAGGTGTTTGGGAAGTAGAATTGGTGTTGTGGTGATGATCTGATTAGTGAGTTTTGGAAGAGATTGGTAGTGGTGGCGGTGGCGGTGTTGAAGTTGAGCCCTGGAGGGAAGTTAGTTTTGGAAGAGGTTGCGGCGGAGATGGGGCCCGGTAATATGGCTGAAGGAAGTAGTAACGGTGGTTGTGAAGAGGAGGTGGTTGAGTGAGATTGAAGCATGGAGGCGGCAGCGGAGGTGGTGGAGGCCATGGCGGTGGCGGAGATGGGAAGCGGGTGGTTGTGAGTTCCTTCGTAGGTGGTGATCAAGATGGACATGTCCTCAGCGCATCTTTGAACCTGAAAAATTTTGGGACCAAAAGAGAATAAAAAGGTTAGTGTATCCCACAAAAAGAAATTATTGGTGATAAGTTGAGTGATGTGAGTTGAGATTTGAACTTATAGTTCTTTTCTTGTACAAATTAGATATTCTTTTTTTGAAATGTTATCATTGCTCTTTTTGTCATTTTACAATTTACTATTTGACACGTGAATTTTATTATCTCATTTTTTTTTGTTTAAATCATGTTAGTATGATTCACATGTCAGACAGTGAATGTAAAAAATGACATAACGAGTGATGTTAGCATTTCTATTTTTCTTTTTATCGAAATTAGAACATGAGAAAATCAATACTATATATTAATGTGTTAGGCTAGCTGAATATTTTGAAAATAAAAATAGTCATCAGTCAAACAATCATATAATGTATAATATTCTAGTGTCAACATATTTAAGCCCTATAATTTCGAGTATTGATTTTTGTTTCAGAAAAAATTGCTAATATGTCATTATCATGTGATCAATTAAACAGGGTAATGTAACGCGCATAAGATTTACTTCTTTTCTAAATGTTATTATCACCTATTGTGGTGCCTATGCGCGTGGGTTGAAATTTACCAACGAGTGTTTAATTTTCCGCGTACAAAACCATAAGTTATCATTTGTGCTAATACCTAGCTAACTAGGATAAGCAACGCAGCATTAGATATTATAAAATAGCTCGTCAAATTGCAATCATGTATATCCAGCTGCAACATATTAGCGTAGAATAATTTCTTGTGGAAACTGATCAAGTCAATTTCTTAGGTATTGACTGAATCATCAATTAGGAAAAGTATCCGATGATCATGTTCAAGTTCAATATTATTTTTCAACAAAGGCTGGAAGAAAATACTTATAGATATACCTGTTTTCTGACCGGACAAGTTGGTGAGACTGTGCAACGATAGTATGCTCTAGGGCATGGATTTCCTTTGGCTATTTTTTGACCATATTTTCTCCATTGGCATCCATCATTCATCTGTACAGACAAATATATACAATAATTAGCAATCAATTGATTACTCCATTAAGTTAGTCTACGCTAATTAACTTAAAACTACCTAGCATTAACCTTAATTTTCGTGGAAAATATTAAAATAATTCACTAATTACCGTTGGGGCATCGCATCTAGCTCGGACTGAAACCCTAGCTTTCTTCAAAGGTGATGTTTGTGAAACGCTGTCATCGTGATCTTCATGATCAGTACCTCTTGATCTCGCCGTCTTGCGAACTTTACTCGGCGGCCACATTTCCGAGGGCTCGACATCCTCACCATCTAATTCCTTCTGGACCTCCTTATGATCATGATCAAAGCTGTTGTCAGAATTTGAATTCTTCGTAGTCTCCGACAACGATCCCAATGCTAATGCAAGTTGATCTCCATCATTGAGTCCCTGGTCTTGATCATGATCTTTATGATCAATATTACTCCAGCTGCTAGTCTCTTTCATTATGATCTCATCATTCTTTATTGGCTCATCTTTAGCAGTGCTTGATATTCTTCCAAGGCTAAGGGAAACAAGTTGATCATCATCATGGGGAGCCGCAGGTTGATGATGATGATGATCATCATCAGGAGATTTGCAGTGATCATTAATAGGTTTAGGCTTAGCTTCTTGTTGGCGAAGAATGTCGGAGAACTGCGATTGAAGAGACTTGTAATCCGTCATGATTCGCACCAATAATAACTTTAATCTTTCGTTTTCTTCTCTAACCTCGCCCATTTGGGCTTTGTAAGCTGATTTTAGCTTATCCTCCTAGTAATTGTAACATATTAGAAAAACAAAATTATGATCAGGCTAAATAAAGTAATAAATTATACATGGAAGTAACTGTATTTATGTATTAGTCACATATATATATATATATATAATAAGCATTTAGCATATACCTGCTCATTCTTTAATATTGAGGGTGAGCTATGATCTGAATTTGTCTCCCATTTCGATGGATCAGTAGCATTATTACTCTTGGTCGCCGCAGTTTCCTGCACATGCAGGTGAGAGCCAGATATTACACACACACCCACAATATATATCTTAATTATATATGTATTTATATGCGTGTGTATTGACGCAATCATTTGAATTACGTACATAATTAGTTTAACTAGCTATAGCTATATGATCTCACATGGGAGGCCCTTTTTGCCGTTAATTATAAATTGAATGTACGCGGACACTTTGAATATATAATATACCAAGGATATATATGGTTAAAGATAGCTATATATATGTACATGTTTGTATCGACAGCTACAACTGTAGCTCCGTGGCAAGAAACACCGTATAATCATCAGAACTCAGAAGGTTCGAATTTGGGAGAAAACAAAGAATTATTAGTAATTCATCATGAAGAGACATTATGGTACCTAAATAGCGTGTGTCAATTATTTATATATATATATTGTGTATTTATATTAATTCACATGGAACCATCGATGAATTTATGACCAAGTCTATATAATAATCACATGTGGACTCATTCTTTTTTTTTTTTTTTATTGCCGTAAAATTAACAAGATGATTATGAGGATAGAGGCTGAGATAGAAAGCTTGTGGCTGATCATTCAAACATACCTTAAAGGTGCTAGCTCACACACACCATAAATATTATTTAAACCAGATTTTAAAAATGGCATGTTACGTGTTGATTTAATGCTATATGCTTTACAACATCATTAATGGCGGCCAACATATGAATAATTCAGTTTTTGCGGCTTCTATAATTCAAAAATAACTGAAGGATGGAGAATTTTTCCCCCTTTGGAGATGGAAATGTTTGTGTCGTTTTGCTTTCCTATATTTAGAGTATGTCCAATGTACAATTCCTTTTCTTTTTTGTGGGTTACTGGCAAAAATAAAATAAAAAAACAAAAAGGTGTCTACATCTGACTCCATCATAAGGGGCTGGTATCAAATCTCCCCAACCTTTTGATGATCAATTGATCTGATCTTGTGATCAATGATCGTTTTGTATGAAACTTACCTTATATTGGCCTATAGATAAACTTAATAATTTTATTTACCTCTTTGATAATGGCTAAATCATTATTTCCGCTGGGAGAAGAAGGCTCCAAATTAATGTTTTGCTCTAGTACAACAACTTGGCACCCATCCCTTTCCTAAATTATCATGAAAATCATATGCGTAAGAAATAACAAAAATATTATTGGGAAAAAAGAGTTTCAAGAGAAACGAGAAGAATTAATCTAGAGTAGAGACTACCAATTAGATAGAGTAAACCGAATTACCGAAATATAAGAGATAAATATTGACATGAAATAGCTTCTACGGAATTAAAGTGCTATATATTGTCGAACATCATACATAAACCTTATCAATTTTTATTAATAAATGTTTCATATTGAAAATTAAGCTTCGACATCTGAAAAACAAAATAAGAATAAGTCTAAGCTGTACCACTTAAGATGATCTTCAATTGGTTGAAAATTAAATACGATTTTTAAAATTCTATACAGACTCACACAACTACTTATCAGCCCTATAGCTTGTTAGAAACCAAGTTCAAGATGGAGATAATGGCCAAATGGTTGTTCAGTTTATCATCCAAAGATTCCTTTATCTGGAATCGATCAATTAAAGTAAGCACTGGATCCAATCATCCAAATGACCATATAAAAGGGAATTACGAAGAGGATTAAAAAGAAGAAAAGGATAATCGAATAGACATATATATTACATAAATAGCAGCAAATTAAACATAATTTCACGGGGAGAATTAATATTCTCATAATTAGCTGATTAGCATAAAAAAAAAACAACTAATACCTTGTTAATCACTGAAGAAGTATCCTCTTCGTCGCCGTTAATCTTGGATCCCATTTCTTTCTTGTCTTGTTTCATATTAACCGTAGCACCAACAAGGATTCTCCAGGAGTTTTCTGTTTTCGTTTTCCAATCTTGCTTTTAATTGACCCAGCTTCTTATAATTTCCTTTGTCATATGTTCTTGTTAGCACAACTGTTTTGCTTCTTATATATTGTGGGAAGATGTATAAAAAGCCTACAGATTTTGACTTAACATACGTTTTAGCTAGTGCTTATCTTAATTTCCATGTTACTCCTTCAGAAATGTCAAACAGCCCAGTTTTTTACTTTTTTTTTTTGTTAAAGAAAAAAAGTTATTATAAGGCAAACACACTCTAAGAAGCAACATATATATAAAAAAAAATCAAATTTTTTATAATAGTTACTTGGTTGGTGTATATTTTTATTAATTATAAAAATATAATACAACTTTATGGAAAAAAAAAAAAGAAAAGAAAAGTATATAGGGCCAATTTAAGGACCTAAACAACTAGCTAGTCATCTTTCAGATTCAAGCTAATATATAAATAATAAAACGTCTTGTGACCGTCGATTAGTGGTCAAATTTCATCAGCCAAAATAAAAAACATTGACTCCAGTGACTCTTTAGGTTTGAGACCATAGATTTCGGTGCAAAATTCTTAATTTATTTCCTCTTCAATTGTCGTTTATTTAAATTCAGTAATCCTTTCGAAAGCCTGCAGACTTTATTTCACAGTAATTAATTAATTGGAAAATTATAATTTCACGACTTATAATTTTTGCTTGTAGAGTCACCACTTATAATTATCATATATAAATGAGTACTCTTTAGCTATATTAGTACTCTTTCAGTTTTTAATTAAAGAACTAAAAAAAATTATTTTTTTTAATTAGAAAATATTTGTCAAATGCATTTAAAATTGATGGTGACATAGTTTGAGGAAATTCTACCAATTGCGCAAGTTGTGGTTTTTGGTTGGAGCTCAAGTTGGCTATATTGATTATTGAATATCATTTTCTAGTCAAAATGTGATCTAGTACTAGTGGTATGAAATAACGGTTTGGTACTTGTGTTTGTTTGTATGTCTCACGTCAATTGAAATTAACCTAAATTTCACCCTTCTAGTAATTACGTTCTTTCTCGAATCATGCAATTAATGTAATATGACTAAGGGAAAATTCATCATCATATAATTTGGAAATTATTTAACGACCTTTACCATATATAGGTAATTAAGTGCTTGGAAATTTGCTTGATTCTTTCCGGCACAAAAAGCGCGTCATTTCTATAATTGGAAAAAGGAAACAATATATAAGAAACAAATGATATTATATCGCATGTATATATGTCCATATATATATATATATATCATAGTAAACCAATGATAAGCATGATCTAGTACTAAACTCATTTAAAAATAATTTTAGCTAAGATAATCCTCGTTACTCGGAGCTGTAAGGAATATCCAGCTTCAACGACGTGCCGCCATATATCGTAATAAAATTACCTTATAATTAAACACTCTACAACTAGCTAAGTGAATGTTAGTGGCGTCAATTTATTTAGGGCAACCATTACAACCCACGAAAGGACAATATGTTTGTTCGCTCGAGAAAAAAAAGAAAGAAAAAAGATATGGACGTATTTATCTATACATGTGTTTGTATATATTGATTTTTCAGCTTGTAGCACCTTCAACATGCAAGAAATTCCAATTTTTTTGCTGTAATATTAGAAAAGGATGCACATTTCAATTATTTTATCCATATTGGTCAATGATGTACATAATACAGTTTGTTCGGTTCAAATTAGGTTAATTTGAAAAGGAAAACCATAGTTTTAAGTATGACATAGGTTTTGGAGATCTATATTTTTAGAGTAAATTAGTGGAATTCAATTTGGAGACTTAATTTGATTAGAATGTCATAATTCTTGTTTTAAAATCTTACTTGAATCAGTACCATATATATTGATCAGAAAATAGAAATATTAAAATAACAAGAAAGAAATACTTGACCTATTAGGTTAAAGAAAATTAGAGCTTTCTCTGAATTTTTTTTTAATTTTGCTCATTGCCATTAGTAGTGTTTATATTAAATCTAGTTGGTTATTTCAGCATTTTAGTTGGTCTTACAAGCTTTGTTGACGTGTATACTTAATTAAGAAGTAAATACAATATTTATCCTTTGTAATTGTGTATATAAATACACAACCAATATTCAGATTGATGAATAACAGCAAATATTCATTTTCTCTCCAATTCTTCTAGTTCTCTAGTTCTTCTTGTTATTCGTGATATGGTATCAGAGAAAATGCTTTGCTGCTCATTCTGATTGTTCTTCAATTCAACATCTTCTTTGTTGTTCCAATCTTGTTCTCGAATCTGTTTGGCTTCAATCAAGATCCTTCATCAGCTTTCATGGCATCCTCAGCTTCTGGCAATTCCTCGGCGATCTCTAGCAAGTCCACTATTGACGATCCTCTTAGTCCCTATTTTTTTTCATCATTCAGACAATCTAGGCCTTTCACTTGTGTCACAGCCATTAACAGGAGATAAGTAGGCCACCTGGAGCCATGCGATGATCATCGCCCTGTCCGTGAAGAAAAAATTAGGTTTCATTGATAAATCGATCATGAAACTAGATGGTACAGACTTAAACCTACTTAATTCATGGGTTAACAATAATAATGTTGTCATTTCCTAGATTTTGAATGTGATTTCCAAAGAAATCTCTGCTAGCATTTTATTCTCTGACTCCACTTGTGAATTATGGCTTGATCTCAAGGAACGTTTTCAACAGAGTAATGGTCCTAGAATTTTCCAATTGAAACGTGAATTAGTTAATCATACTCAGGACCAAAACTCAGTGACTGTATATTTTACAAAGTTGAAATCTTTGTGGGATGAGTTAAGCAATTTGAGGCCTAGTTGTATGTAACACCCTGAAGAATTAATTGAGATTAATTAAGGTAATTGAGATTATTAGTGTGCCTAATCTGGATTATTAATTGAGTATAAATTAATAGATGTTTCTGACACGAGTGAGTTTAAATAGTCCTAAGGTATTTAAATTATTCTCAGCAATTTATTTAAACCCAGAAGTGTGTATGGGCACATTTCTGGACTGCTCTTTTAAAATATTGGACACATGTCTTTTTCTTTTCTTTTTCCTTTTCTTTTCTTTTCTTTCTTTCCTTTTTCCTTCTCGTGCATCTCTCTCTCTCTCTCCCGTGCATCTCTCTCTCTCATTTTTGTCCCAAATCAAACGGATCTTGAACCAATGAAAGATTTAAAGACGTTTTCAACGTCGAGAGAAGGATTCGAGGTAAGATTCTGAAAGAACCTCTCTTGAATCTTAAGTTTTTGAATTTCAAAACTTATTTTTGGTTCAAACCGGATTTTGATGGTTTTTGAGTAAAACTAGAGTAGAAATTGGAGATCTTGAATTCTTTAGACTTGTTTTAGGACCTAGAACCCAGATCTAGTGGTTTTTCTTTGAAATATCTCGATTTGGAACAGAGATTTGTAGGTTTTGGACTGGTTTCCGTGAGCTTCTCTCACGCAGCTGATTCCACCGGTCGACCTGTGCGGTCGATCGTATCACATGGTAACCGGTCAACCTGTGCGGTCGACCGGATTGCATTGGCCTGACCGGTCGACCGGAGTGCACACCATCGATCGACCGGTGGTAATGCACTGCTCTGTCACCGGTCGACCGGTTGACACGGGGTTTGACCCTGTTTGGCATAAAATTGCTGTTTTGACCCCTGTTTGCGGGGAGAACCCAAATTAGCTTCATGAGGGACTTGAGATGAATGGATTAGTATCTTTAATCCTTGTTTTGAGATTGAAAACCCTTGGAATGATAATTTGAAACGTGAAAATGGATTAGGGCACACTAATAGGAAATCTTGGCTGGAAATTGAGATTGGATTGCTTTAGGAATGAGAATTAATCCTAAAGTGTTGTCTTGCATCAGTGATCGCTGAGGATTCAGACTGAAGGGGCTTAAGGAAGTGAAAGCCAAGAAATGCAATGCTAGTCCCAAGTCTGATAGTGCGAGGTAGGATTTCTATCCCTTTTCTTTGTGAGCCTGTTTTCAAAAAAGATTTTGGCCTTGAAAATGTTTTAAAGAAAGGGATTGGTTTGTGAAAGAAAAACGCTTTGAAAACCATGGCTTGTTTAGTCATGGAACCTCATGGCTTGTCCAGTCATAGGGCCCGCGGCTTGAGTAGTTCGTGGGGTCATATTAACGATTTTAAAATGTTAATGAATGATTTCTTAAACAAAGAGATCTTGTGAACTAGTAATATAGTCTATTGCTGTAAGCCTAGATAGGATGCAGAGAGTGCATCCTCAGGGGCAGAACCCGAAGCTCAGTCCGGGTAGGCAAGGCACTTGGTTAGGTAAGTAATTTGTACTAATTACTTGCTGAAGTCTGTAATATGGAGATTTTACATTTATTTCCTTTGAGAAAAAAGATGTGAGGCTCTGGCTATCTGTTGGAACTGAATGTCTATTTATTTACGTACCCATTTATTTATTTACTTGCACTTTATCTATTTATTTATTTTACGTCTTTGTAAATAACATCCTACTGGGCCTTTCGCTCACGTTTTATGTTTTAAATGTATTAAACCCCTCCCAGGAGATTCTAGGAGCGGTGCACAGTAGCTGGATAATTGCTACGCAACAGCTGAGTTGTGCTGCTGTTGGAATCAAGTGAGGATCGTGGACATCCTCTTGGACAAATGTAAGGAATTTGAGAAATTCTGTAAACTTATGTAATACTTGGATTTACTAGATTGTGGTTGATGTCTATTGTAATGATTATTTACATGAGCATGTATGTACGATACTGTATATCCTGTGGGGTGGAGCCTTGTGTGTCAGAGGCTTCAGAATTCTTTAATTTATTTATATTTTAATGCAGTTGAGTGGGGCTCGTCTGGGAATCTGCTTTATTAACCCCTAATCGAGCTCCATGTCACCCACCCCGTTTGGGGGGCGTGACAAGAAGTGGTATCAGAGCCCTAGGTTAAGAAACCCCAGGATTGTACATACATGTGTGACATCTGTAATCCACTGAATAGTCTAGTTTTATTTCAGTTAAAGGAAATG